CTGTGTATCTACCTTCTGATATTATTGACTGATTTTAGTAATGCACCTTGATCAAATCACAACAATAGTTATTTTTGTTATTATTTTAAAATCCACATGATTATCATATAATGATAACTTTAAAAATAATCACATTGTGTAAAATATTGAGGGCTCCATGGTACTGTGCTAATGTGCTTCTCAAGAGTAGCCTGTCTCACAAGGTGACTACGGTTCAAATACCCAGTCCAGTCACCCTGAAACGTGCCAGCCACAGGCATGAGTGCCCAAGATCTGTCAGGCCAGAGAACTGAAGGAAGGGGATTGCAGGGTGCCCAGCCCTGGGAAGGGTGCTTCTCTCTTTCTCTTGTATGCTTTATCATAAATTTAAATATATATATATTAAAAAAATATTCAGACAACCCCATAGTGCAGGGATATTTTATGTATGTATGTTGTTCTATGTATAGGGAGTTGGATCCCATATGGTCAACTACAGTTCGAATCCCAGCCCTGGCAGCTTGGAAAACACTCAGGCACATACATGTGCATGCCCCAAACCCTGACGTAATGGATAAATGGAGGAAAAAGGATTGCATTGTAACCATAACCCTCTGGGAGGAGGGTGCTTTCTCTCTTCTACTCTCTCTCTCTTTGGAGAGCACACGCACACCTCCTGATAACTTATGAAAAAAAGATTTTTTAAAAATTCATAAGTGCTGAGGCCAGCTGGTGGCATGGAGGTTAAGTCCCTGGACCTGGCAGCTTGATCCTCTATGGAGGAGATGGGATTAGGGTGTGACCATGCCCCCAGGGGGAAGGTGGTTTCTCACTTTCCCTCTCTGTCTCTCTCTCTGGTGACCACACCCAAACAAAATGGGTGGCAAAAACCTAAAAAGAAAAAAATTATAAATGCTACTTAAAATTTAGATTTGACTGTTAAAAAAATAACATTATTCCTAAAAGAATGAAAGGTTTGGCAGTGTGAGAATGTTCTCTTAAGAAATCTCTTAAGACAAGGATTTCTGGAACTATTTATGTAGTAACAGTGTTACTATGGTTACATACCCTCTTACTCCTTTGGTTAATACAAAAGGGGAAGCTCATGTGAACGTGGGAGTTCCACTCGGCTTCCTGAACACAGTTACATTCCCACATACCACCCATCCTTCTTCCCAGGGTGTCCCCAATATAGATGGAAAAACTAGAATTTTTCAAAGGGTGAAATACATGTCACTAATGAGCACACAGCAGTAGGAATGGGATACAGATTTTCACGGGAACCACGAAGACTTCACTTGGACTCAGTCCGTATCTCCTGGCCAGTGTGACCAGCCTTCTATCTACAACCTCTTGTTTCTCAGAGTAGCAAATGTTTCTGCAGTGCTGGCCTCTGTGGCAACTAAAGTCCAAAGTTTTTTATTTCTTGTACCCTCACGCATCAGCAAATAGTCACGTGTGTAGGCTGCAATGGCTCTGGTTTTGTGGCAGCAGGATTTGGAAAGGAATTTGGAGGAGATGATGATTTCCATGTAGAGCATTCAGTCATGAAGGCCTGGTCCAGGGAGAATCTCTGATGTGCAGGCCAAGCAGGGAGTCAGCTTGTGCCCTCCTACAGGAACACTTCCCCTGGGTCTTCCTTCTTCTTCCCCACTTCGTTTATTGCCGGGGACCAGCCTCGGCGGGGGTGGGTTTGCTCCATGGAGGCGACGCTGGAGGGAAAGAAAGACAAAGGCCTCGTGCTTTTTCATGCACGTCCTAAGCCGGACACTCCTCTAAGATCACTCTCTGAGGAGTGACAACTGCTAGGAATCACCGTGCCTTTTTATTGAAAATGGGATACATGCAAGTAAATGGGAGAGGGGCTACGTGTACTAATGATTAATTCATAATGTTTTAACAATAGAAATCATTTAGGGTTTGATTAAGGGCAAGTTTATTAATCATCGATACAGTTCAACAATTGTTTGATTGATGAAAGCAGGTTCTTGGTAACTTCAAGCAGTGCAGTTTTAGGGAACAGTTTTAGCAAGCAGAGTTAACTATCAACTGATGTTTAGCAGCAGCCGTCTTATGATTACTAAAAGAAAATTTTAAGCATAGATATTAGTTCTTATGGATTTTTATAAAGAATGATACTTATATAATTCTATAGGGATTTAAAACGTAAGGAATCCTAATATATTTACCTATCCTGAAGGGGGGGAGTTAGTGTTCACTTGGTGAGGGCGGGGATACAGCCTTTTCAACTGGTGGTGAAGTGACTAATAAGTTAATGAAAAACTTTAAAATGGGTTTATGGTGTTGTGGATACACTTGTGTAGCCTATGGCACCACTGTTATGTATTTTGTTAGAACATTAGTTACCATGGGACGAGAGCGTCCTGGGCCAGTTTCGGCCTAGTCCTATTGTACGTGAAAAGATTATTTATATTAAATGTGTCTTGAGGGGCCTTCCAAAGATCAGGAAGAACTTTAGCACACCCTTTACTGTGCCCAATGAAGCGTTGTAATTAACAGTAAGTGGTCAGGGTAAAGGGGAGCGGTCGGGGGGACTTTTTGGGAAATCTTACCACACACTCAAGATGTATGAGGGAGCTATGTAATTCTTTTATAGTAGTATATCGGGGAGTCAGAGGGGGGTCACTTCTCAGCAAGGCTATCATAGTCCCGGAGCGAATAGCAGGTGGCCTTGCCAACATGCTAAGTGACCCAAGCTTGTTCTATGGTCGGGGGGTGTACAGTCGCGGCCTTGCCAACTCACTGAACTGACCGGAAGCGATGCTCAAAGGTCAAGGGGCTCAGACGGGTCCTGGAGCCCCACCGGGTTGGACTCCTCCAGTTTATAACTAAGAAATAAAATGTAAGCAATGAATTTGGTTTACATTCTCCCACTGTCAACATCAATTCTTGAAACATTTTTATGGGACCTAAGTTAGGGAAGTGAAGCCCTTCCAACTGTCCCCTGTCCCTTTTCATGCCTTTTCAGCATCACACTGTCACATTCCTTTTTTTTCATAGAATTCAAAGGAAATCAGTCTTTTAGTTATTGTCCGTATCTTTATTTCAAAATATAATAGTGAAGTCCATCCAAATAATGTATTTCAATCTCCAACACATAACAATTCCTGGGGTCAGCAGATGGCGTGGTGGTTAAGGTGCTGGATTCCCATGTGGTCAACTGACATTCAAGTCCCAGACTTGGACTTGCTTTCTCACTTTCTCTCTCTCTCTCTGAATTCTGAGTGTGCCCTATAGCAAATTAAAAATAATAATCAATAAAATTAAATAAATAATTATTTAAATAAAAACCAATTCTCAATATTGTTTGAGTGGATGGTGAGGTGAGTAAGAAGGCTGCGAAGAAAGAACTTATAAGCCTGTCTAAGGTTATACCAAAACTATGCTTTTTAGTGCTGAAGATATAAAGATAACTATGTGTTCCCGTGTAGGTAGAACTAGTCAGACTAGTTGCACATAAAAATCATTTAACATTAAAATAGGTGGCAAAATCCAGGAAAAAAAGATAACTAATGCCACTATGAATCGGGTTACCCTTTAAACAAGAAACAAACAGTATTGACCTTTATTTTCACAACTATAAACATGTATATGTATTAGTCGGTATTTAATCTGATTTATTTCAATGTTTTAAATGAACGGTGTGGAGGGCACTGCATACGGGAGCCATCTTGAGCTATCCGCCATCTTGAGCTATCCACCATCTTGGAAAACATTAGGCTTCACTTCCTCACTGAGCAAATGTTTCTCAGAAATCATGTGACCAACCATTCTACCCAGAAGTGGCTGGGTTTCTAGGCAATAGGAGAGATCCACCCACATCAATGATTGGTTCGTGCTGTTCTATCTCATTTGCATTTCGGGCAACCAATTGGTGCCCACCAGCTGTATATAACTCGCCATTTTTCCTCAATAAACGGAAAAAGACGGAGGAAGAAGAAGACTTGATCAGCATCTCGTATTGTATGTGCGTGTGTTTGTCCCATCTCTCACTCCCTCCCTCAGGGAACCTGTTCGACTGTCCCGCGGGCCAGGACAAACCAGTACTTTTTATAATTTATACTTATTAAAGACCAACTTGGAATTTTCAATCCCTTCCTTACTAAAGTAATTTTTAAATCTCTAATGTGGATAAATCATAGTTATTTAATTGTGAGAAATATTTTTCTATATTTTCTGATATTTGCTATATTAGAATTAAAAAACTTATGCCCTTTATAATGATTTACATTTACTAAATGTCTTAAATCTTTTTCCATGTAGTTTATTTGCAGAATCATGCACACCGAATGAAGGGAGAAGAGCAGGAGGTGAGGTGAACAACGTTAGCTCAGGAATGTGAGACAGCTCCATAGGTAAAATAATAACTATTTGCCTGTGGATAGCTGGCCTTAAATTCTATATTAGTCATCAGAGACAGCCAGTGAGATGACCTCTTCTGGAGACTATTTTAACACATCACACACCCTCCGCTGCACCACAACTGCTGGTGTCTGTTCCCAAGCTCGTTAGAAAGGCATTGCTGAGTGTCAGGATTGAAGTTCATTTTAAAAGGCTCCTGATTAGAACCCCGATGAAGACACTCAGGAATGGGAAGAACAATGTTTCATAAGGATTATTAGAATGTGAAAACTGGACGGAATCACAGAAGCTTCTGCAGGTGCCCCTGTTTGTTGATGAGAGAGCCAGGACTAAAGCTGTCATGTCTATCTTGATCCTGCTTAGAAGACTCACTGGGAACTAGGCTTACGTTGCTTCCTTAAGTATTCTATACATGCCGGGCAACATTCTTGGCACTAGCAACTCATGGGTTAAAGCACATACTCTCTCATTTAAAACCTAGGAAGTAAGAAAACACACACACAAATAAAAAAAATAAAAATAAACGCCAGGAGGGAATGAACTGACAAAGAAGAGAATGAGGAGCTCCTTAGTGGAAGGCAAGCCCCGGTGGATGTGGGATGCGGCAATGTGGAAAGAATGTCAGGACAGCAGGCAGAGTGCTTGCTTCGGCAGCACATGTGCTAAAATTGGAACCATACAGAGATTGGTAGGGCCCCTGTGCAAGGATGACACGCAAAATCGTCAAGTGTTCCATATTTTTACATGTAATTCACTGTAAAGATATATGTGACTAAAGGTAATATAAAAATTAAAATAAATTAAATTAAAAAAAGAATAGCACTTGGAGGGAATGTGAACAGTAGCCAGGTTGAGCAATGCATAGGGAATGCCTAAAGAACAAAAACAGGAAAGAAACCAGTAAAAATAAAGGTGTATATTGGGAGGAAGTAGCAGGTACAAACATTTAAGTTCATAGAGGACAAAACACTAAATACCTATTTAAAAATGAAACATATGAAAACCAGCAAATGGTGGAATGGTTATGTTGCTGGACTCCCAGGTAGTTGACAGCAGTTCAAGTCCCAGACCTGGTGGCTTAAAACTCATGCTGGGTGCATATTTATGTGTGCCCAAGACCCTGAGAGGAGAATGGGTGGAGAATGGATTGCAGCGTGGGCATCACTCTGGAGGGTGATTTCTCACTTTCTGTCTCTCTGTCTCTCTTTGTCTGTCCAACAAGCGCACATACTCTATAGCAAAAATCTGTCTTTAAAAAAGAAAGAAAGATATGGCCAGCAGGTGATATGGTGGTTAAGGCACTGCACTCCCACATGGCCGACTGCATAGTTCAAGTCCCAGACCTGGTGGCACGCATGTCCAAAATCCCTAGAGGAGAATGGAGGAGATGGGGTTGGGGCCATCCCCCTGGTGGGGGAGAATGGCGATGTCTCACTCTCTTTCTTTCTCTGACTCTTCAGCAAGCACACACACTATACAACAACAACAACAACAACAAACTAAGAAAGAAAAGGAAAGAGAATGAGAGAGAAAAAAATTAAGAAGTAAGTTTGACCTCTCTCTCTGTAATTAAGGATATGTGAATGAGAACAATGAAATATCACGTTGCTTCTACTACTATAGATGGGGTGGGCGAGGTCTGACGACAGGTTGGGGGGACACAGAAACTGCAAACAGAAACCCTCCCGACCAAGCTGGTGAGAGTGCAAGTTGCCATTTGGAAACTAGTCTGATAATGTATATTGAAGTCCATGTGCGTGCTTTGAAAAACCATACTGCATGCCATAAAGATCTAAGAGGACTGACTGTAAGTAAAATATAAAATAAAAAAGAACAACCTTTTTCCAGTGTTTTACTTTGTCCCCTCCCCCAGCTTTATTGAGAAATGATTGACAGATAAAAATTAAATAAATTAAAAAGCAGAAAGTGAACAACTGCTACCTGATTTTGGACTCAAATTCCAGCAAAGCGTACATTTTTCACCTGTCATCAATTTTCTGGATCAATTTCCTTGCTATGTATATAGTTGCCTTATATTTGACCATAGCTATGTCCCTTTGGCTGTCTATTTCTGCATTTTATTCATCATAGCCATTTTTATCTTTAGCTGGAAGCATTAAAGTATATTTTAAACATATACCTTCACTCAAAACTTGGGGAAGCATCTCAATGGATTAAAAATGAAATACGGCACTAAATGGGGGTTGAAGGTGAGGACTAACTGTACTGTGGATCTAGAAACAGCAAGACCCATCCTGCAGTTTGCCTTCCACGTGGTGCACGATTTGAGCATGCCCCTGGTACCTGCAGAGTCGGCGCCTGGTAACTTGTGACACCAGGCTCCAGGGGAAGGACATCCTACATAAACACAGGGGAAAAGTATTTCTCAGCTGGGGCCAGCGGAGACCGTCTCTGCTGCGTCAGAGTGGATGAGAAACACATGCGTGTGCACACACACAGCCCGAGTCTAGTATAACAGGGCAAGACTATGCACAGAGAGAGAGAAAGAAATGGCAGGCACCCCTGAGGAACAGTCAGCTCTCTGCTGAGCTAAAATGTAGAGCGTATAGTGGAAATAAACAGCTAAGCGTAAATCAAAATGGGCACCATGTGTAATAGTATTTCCTGTAACTGAGCATCTTAGTCAGCCCTGACCGCCGTACGAGAATGCACATCTGCTGCGTGCGACGTTTTGGTCAGCGGTGGACTGCAGGTACGACACTGATCCCTGTTGTTGTACTAGGCTACACCGCGCAGCCTGGGTGCACAGCAGGCCGTACGCCTAGGTGTGCGTAGGTGCAGTCTACGGTGGCCACACAACCACGACATCGCCCATTGGTGCCTTTTTCAGAATGGACCAGTCATGCATGACATGTGACAGTACCACTGACTGCGAGTGGGTTGTGGACTCACCTGGTAGAGGGAGAGAGAGACAGGCTCCCTGCAGTCTCTTCCGCCCAGACCCGGGCCCCACCCTGTCACCTCATCTTTTTCCTGTTGCCTCCCGAAGGCCCCATTGCCACACCCCATCACATTGGGGGTTAGGACTTTGCACTAAATTTTAGGGGGACACAAATGTGCCGTGCATGATACTGAGTTTGAGTTAATTTTCCAATTCTACCAGACAGTGAGAAGTTCATCACCTCTGCGAGCTCACGGTACATCTTCCTTATTTTCTGTGCCAGCTCTAGACCCTGAGGGCCACGTAGGACCAGGAGAGTAGAGTGGTGGCGTAAGGACAGTAGCACCTTTCGTCAAGCCGATGGTATCCATCAGACGTTTTTTCTGATCATGCCCCCACTGCCAGGCCCTGCTGCTACTTCTTCGTTCTCTTCATAAGATCTCTTTAGTCTCATGGTTTCTTTTTTTTTGGGGGGGGGGAGAGGTTTATTTATTTATTTTTTTTGCTATAGGGCATGTGCGCTCGCCAGCCAGGCAGAGAGAGACAGAGAGACAGAAAGCGAGAAATCATGCCCCGGGGGGATGGCCACACTGCAATCCCTTCTCCTTCATTCTCCTCTTGGGATCTTGGGCATGCACGCACATGTACCTGGTGTGAGTTTCAAGCCACCGGGTCCGGGACTTGAACCGCGGTCGACTACATGGGGGTCCAGCGACATAGCTATTATGCTAACTGCTGGTCCCTTTAGTCTCATGGTTTCTCGCCCTCACTCCTTCTCTATTCCTTGTGTGTGTGTGTGTGTGTGTGTGTGCCTTTGTGGAGCTCCTTTACCCCCACTCTGCTCAGTAACTTCTACAGCTCACTTTACTATGCTTCTCTGTCTTTTTTTTTTTTTGGAGAGATTTTCACTATAGGGCGCATGCACTCACCAGACAGACAGAGAGAGACAGAGAGACAGAAAGCGAGAAATCACCCCCCAGGGGGGATGGTCACACCGCAATCCCTTTTCCTCCATTCTCTTCTCAGGATCTTGGGCACAAACGCACACGCGCCCGGCATGACTTTTAAGCCACCGGGTCCGGGACACAAACCGCAGTCGACTACGTGGGAGTCCAGCGACACAACCATTACGCTAACTGCTGGTTCTCTCTGTCTTTTTTTAAGAGATGTTTGCTATAGGGCACATACACTTGCCAGAAAGAAGAGAAAGTCAGAGAGAGAAAGCAAGAAATCACCCCACAGGGGATGGCCACACTGTCATCCCTTCTCCTCCATTCTCCTCCTGGGATCTTTGGCACACACGCACACACACACGCACACCTGCCATGAGTTTCAAGCTGCCAGGTCCAAGACTCAAACCTCAGTTGCCACATAGGAGTCCAGAGCCTTAACCACTATTCCTCCTGCTGGCCCCATATGCCTCTACATCTCTCCATCCAATGCTGGGTATGGGGAACTGTGACATTATCCCAGGTCTAGCCACCTGGACAATCTCTGCAACCACCTCTGTCCTACCATGTTACAGGTTTGGGTGAATTCTATGAAGCGTGCCTCCACCCAGAACACATCTCAATAATCGAGACATCTCCACTCTTCTATTTTCTAGAACCAATTTTATAATTTATAGAGCTCCAGTGTAAAATAAAAATGTATAGCCCTTTGCTTAAAAAAACTTGGAATTTTAAGGTGCCAACAGAAAATTATGAAAACAAGTATGGATCCTTTCTGACAGTAAGACTCTGTACTACCATATGCTTTATGCCCAAGAAGGTGATCCTAACATTGCTGTTTCTCCACAGACCCTCCTCTCCCCTGACCCCTCCCTGTATCCCCCACACACACACACGCACACACACATGCATGCACACACACATGCACACACACACACGCACACACCGTTACGGGATGGGAGGCATCAGCAGGGAGTGAGGAAAATGACCATATTCTCCCAAAGTTTTTGCTTTTAGGCGTGTGCCACAGCTACTGCACCTTAAGGGTTGGATCGGTCATTTTTTGGTCTCTTCTGTTATTCCTTCTCTTGAAGCCTTAGAAGCAAAGTCATGGGGACAAGCAACGATCAGGTTGAATGCTTGAACTAATAACTCAAAATATTCTCTTGCTACATTTTCAAATGCTCTGTAGGGAGGTAGCATGGGATAGAGTGAAAGGGAAGGAACACCCATACAGAAAGGCATAGACCGTCCCATCAGAGAACTGAGGCCGCAGTGAAAACCACCAGCCTGTAATGTGGAGACAGGAACCCCAGACTCTGCTAAGCTCTGCTTACTTGGAGCAGAAGCCTTAAACTGGCAGGGATATTTTATGCTATTTTTAAGAATTGGTGGAGGCTGGTGACTAGTACAACAGTGGAAAATTTATAGTTTAATTGGGCTCCCTACTTTGTACAGACTTGACTTCTAAGCATCCCGTCATGGAGGAGTGAGAAAGTAGTCTTCATGAAATGTAGCAAAGGCTTCTATATAACAGAGGCTTATTTTCCTCTAAAAGAAAGAACTTTGTCAAGCTTCATTTTAGCTGAAAAAAAAAGGAATTTAGTTTTCCTGTCTTACCTATGAGAACAACAACAACAACAATATGAGGCTTGTGCTTCTTAAAAATGCAGCAGATAGGCATTTTCTTCTTCCTCCTGCTAAAAACCCTGGAAATTATATATAAAACAAAGGAGACTCTCTCACCGGTGGGGAGAAGACAGGTCAGCTGGCGAACTGGGACACACAGCATGGTGATGAGCTCTTGGAGCTCCCCCTGCTTTATACAGCCAATACTAGTCACTGGAGAAGCCAGCAGCATAAAATGCCAAAGGCAGAGACAGCAAATGC